ATTGTAATAGATATAGGCTTGTGTGTGTGTTTGTTTATGATTGATGATGATAATGAATGCTTAATTCAAGAACTAATCAAGTTTTTTAAGAAATCAAGAATTTGATTTTTTTAGTATTTCCATGAGTAAACATAAAGTAATAGATTATCTTGAAAATGCTAATTTACTATCAAGTGCTTAAACATAGAAATATGACTTGATTCAAACAAGAGTTTTCAAGGTAACATTGTTAATCAATTACCATTCAGGGTAATAGATTACCAAATCTGTTACTAGAAAAGGATATTCAAATATCCTCCGTGTTAATAGATTACCACGCTTGTTACTGAAAAATATTTTTCAAGTACTTTCTGAGGTAACAGATTACCAAAGTTGGTAATAGATTAAAACAAACTCTATCAAAGTTTTAATTGTGTTAATCAATTACCACAAGACATAATCGATTACCACAGAATGAAAGACAATCCTGGATCTTAGAAAGCTCAGGATAATCGATAATTACCATATCCCATAATCAATTACCCTGGAGATATTTGTGTTTCTGGTTTATTTTAAATAAGAGCTGGTAACAACTACCATATCAGGTAATAGATTTTCTCTGTTATTACTCTTTATAAATGAATCATGTCTTGCACTCTATAAAATAAATCTTTTTGAAATTAAAAAGAAAACTTTTAAAGACTTTTTGAAAATCTTTTGAAAGAAAAATATTTGAGAAAAAGATTACTTTCAGAAACAAGATTCAAGACTTATCAAAGAATTTTTCTGAAATTTCAAGAAGTGAAAAGATAGAATATGAATTCTTGAAAGAAGAAATTCAAGAAGTGTATTCAAGAGTGAAAGATCAATACCTACACGAAATTAGGTGATATCTTTCTGATCTTTAAACTTGTATTTTCGTTTTGATTGGTGTATCTCTTGAGATAGGGTGTGTCAATAAGAGATGTTGAAATCTTGAGTAGGATTTCTCAAGTAATTAATTTCTGTGGGGTACAAAAATTTTGTTTGTTTTCAATCTTGTGGTGTCAAGATTGATGTTTGTTTGAATTCTTGTAATATTGTATGTGCAAGGTGTTTGTAAACAATATTATAGTGAATGATCTTTGATTTAGTAGGGTGCTAAATTAGGGAAAACTGGATGTAGGCCAAGTGGATGGTTGAACCAATATAAATTTCTGTGTTCTTTATCTTCTTACCCTTATCTTTAAAGAATCTTGCTAATTTCTTGTTTAAAGGTTTTAAAGATTTCTGAGATATGAAATTTCAATTATAGTACCAACTTTGATCATTATTCTTTTAATTGAAATTTATTAAAAAGAAGGTAATATAAAATTAATCTTAGTTACAAGTGATTGTTTCGCTGCATTAACGTTGATATTCTGATATGTTGGTAATAAACCTTGTAAATCCTCTCCATGCTCAAAACAAGTATTATTTTACAAACAAGTCTCTCCAGGCTCAACCTTATAACAATGGTTATAAAGGTTACTTAAATGTTGTATTTGTCTCACTTAAACATTATACAATCAATTATAAAGCAATGAATGTATACAAAAAAGAATATATTTTTATAGAATGTTTCTATACAAATGTATATGTATCAATTATAATTTGTGTCTCTCTCTTTCTAATGCTTTGAATCTTCTTATATAGTAGCTCAAAGAAGATGAATATTGCAACACTTTGAGTCCATCTCACAAGTTTACTTCCTTTGTCTTCATTGTCTTCCCTTATGGTGGTAGGTAACCATTTGACACATTTAATGTGAACATTA